CCCATCCAAAAATTCATGCAAACAAGAGTCTGCTATATATGCATGTCAGTAATCTTCTTAAATTGAAACATGGAACCATCCAGCTTTTCTTGACAGGCGGACGAGTAAAAAATGCCGAAGAAACAGCTAACGACCTGCGGCTACAATACGCCCCAATTTTTGAACTCGCAACCTCTGCCTGTTCCATAATTTCGTGCACATTAGTGACACCATTTTTTTCAAGGTAATTTTTAACCCATCAATTGTGCTAAGGAAGTTACTCTCACTGTGTGTGCATTGTTCTCCGGGAGCAGACAACATCCGTCCGAAGGCACTGAAGGCTGTGGCCAACACGCTATCTGAACCACTGTCACAGTTCTTCCAAAGGTGCTTTGATGTATAACAAGTCCTGATTATATGGAAGTGGGGCATTAACACCTTTATTTTTAAAGGCGGTAGCCGTTCAGATCCTGCAAACGATCGTCCAGTGAATCTCCTCCCTGTGCTCGCGAAGGTGATGTAAGCAGTCGTCGCTGAGGCTTTAATGTACTACCTGGACAATGCAACGTGTTGGTACCGGAACAGCATGGCTTCCGTCAACACCGCTCATGCACCACCAACCTATTGATTGCACGAGGTGGTTAGACGGAAGTTGCTGATGATGGGGTCGGAGTTGACGTCATCTACCTATACTTCTCCAAAGCTTTTGACCGCGTTGATCACGGCATCCTACTTCAACGGCTACAGAGATACGGATTCCGGGATCATGTACTTGGTTGTATTGGCAGCTTCCTCCACCAACGAAAGCTTTCATGTACGCGTTAGTGGATCACTCTCTAACCCAACTGAGGTGGAATGTGGTGTCCGAAAACTCTTAGTGTTGGGTTCGAGCTTATTCCTGTTGTTTATCAGAGACCTGGCATCAGTTATCTCCTCAAGTTTCCTGCTTTTCGCAGATGACGTCAAGATATGGCGGGCCATTGGTAACAAGCCAGATCAGGATCTGCTCCAACATGACCTAGATTGCATTTACGAATGGTCAAAAGAGGAACAAGCTTCAATTGAACATAGTTAAGTGCAAAGTGATGCATCTGCGTCGCCAGCCGCTGAGCGCTTACATGCATGGTACTACACACTTTAGAAGGTATCTCAGGAGCGTGGTCTGTGTGTATTGGTACAGGTAGGTCTCGGGTGTTCAAAACAAGCAGAGACGTCCACGCGAAGCGGCAATCGACACTTCGGCCTACTTCGCACGGCCTTCGGTCTGTTTGAACCCTCAATCTTTCCCCAAATGCTTAACGCCTACGTTCGACCTCACGTGGAATATGCTATTCAGGCGTGGCAGTAGTGGCAGAAACAAGATCTCGTTGCTTTCGAGAATCCTCAACAAAGGGTAACTAAGAACGTCAGGGGCCTCTTTCACCTGCCATATCAGCTTGGACGGAAATCTCTAAGAATGTACAGCAGTCGATATCGGCTTTTGCGGGTGGACCTCGTAATGGTTTACCAGAATCTGAAGAACCCAAACCACATTTGCCGTCCGCTGTTGAAATTGAATCACAACTAAACTAAGTACTTACCCTCTGAAACAGGCAATTTAGTATAGCCGGCTTGAATGCCGTAAAAATTTCTTTTCCCTCTGCGTGTGCGAGCCTTGGAATGCCCTCCCTAATTACGTCGTCTCTGCTCTCAGTCTGGCGATATTTAAAAACACGTGTTGACGATGCATTTTCTCACTTACAATTAATTTTATGGCTTTAGCCAGGGGCTACAAAAGGCAGTCAGTTTCCTGCTACACGGCTAAACAATGGATTTACGGATTTATACGTTTAATACGCGAACATCTCCGCTATTCCACATAAGTATATGATGAGTCCCTCACAAGTATTTTCACTTTATCATGCAATTGATCTTCGCAATAATTTCCATCTCACGGGACATTTTAAACAGTGCTCTTTTTACGCATAATAAACCATTGTTCCATTATGGTTCCATTGTAGGCGTACTGTGGCTGTGCTATGGTGGCCACATAGAGAGGCAAATCCGGAACTTCTGTAGGTGGTCAGCGTCTGACCGTGGCGCCCACTGCTTCGAAGCTTTCTTTTCTCTGTTCTTCCAGTATGCAGCACAGATTTCCTCTCTTTACTTATATCTATGCCTGAAGACTTGGAGAAACTATGATATCCGGTTTTACTCGGTGATAATAGTTCACCGAATCTACTGTTCGTCTGCTACGGTGGTCATTCAAAAACAGCGTCTGATTTATTAGCAAGTGCTTTCATTAACGTACATGGAAACATGGACAAAATTACTGGCAATGCCTTTTAAAGGCGTACAAGCCACAGCTCCTTAATCTCTTATTTATTTCTAAATAAGGGAGCAGTGGTGGGCTGAATATCACTGTGCAACATAGACAGCTTGCGATCTCACATCTTGAGACCATTGAGCTGTTCTATTCGACCATGTGCACTGCGCTGTAACTGCTTAAAATCGCATGCTTCATCGTGTTATTCTTTGCCTTATTCGATAAGCAGATTCAAATGTCCGAAACCAGCGTGGCAGTCGAAGAGAGAAGACGTTGGACGAACAGATAGTACCTCGAACGGTCCGTCGGAATAAATTATTTTCCAGTACAGTCCCGTATATGGCAAACCAGATATCTCGACTGGTTTCTATGAAACTTGTAACTGACAAAATAAGCATGTCTATGCTTTGGAACGAATTTGATGTCACATTTCGAATTGTGAATTGAGAAGCTTAAGCATAAACTAAACCTCGACGAAACTACTAAAATAAGGCAGGTACCCAATATTGCACGTATATAATGGAGGGAAATGAACGAACTCACCGAGTAGCTACCAGCGTTGAAAAACCTTTATATACGCGCTTGCGGATCGGGGTCATCAATTCGTGAGAGTAGTAAATACCAATCAGAAACAATGCGTTTAAGCAAGTACGGATATCAGAGAGCAGTTGAAAATAGACAAAGCGGACTATATTTATTGGGCTACAAGCTAATTGGACGGATGAAAGGAGTTAAAGGTCAGTGGTACAACTTACAGAGAAGTCAAGTAACGAGCCGCTGGTAATGAAGATTATAAAAAGAAAGAATAATGTACCGTTAGTCAACAACTAAAGTTGTACATACAATAAAATGCTTTCTGGGCGTTGCAGGTCATTCCGCACACAAATTTAGTTGATTAGAGCTTGACGGTGGCAACCTATAAGGTAAGGTAATTGTTAAACTTTGAATTTACGATACTGTTGTTTTCTTTGTTCTGTTCGCTTTCGTTTCATTTTAGTTCATAACCCTTGCTAGTTTTTCCTTATCCACTTAGCTCAGGCTTGATTATGTTGACAGTCATGTCGGCAACATCCAGCTAGGTGTTGTCTTTTCTGGCGCAGTTTTCGTTTTGTGTGCTTTCGTGCTATTTAAGTGAGTTTACAGTATGTGATAGCCTACGAATGTATTTTTATTTGATGGAAATTTTATTGCGACTTAGGTAATCATTTTGACGGAAGCCTTCGGTTTCTTGACGGGACGCATATTTCACTTCTACTTCTGGAAATTTTCGCAGGCCTTAGAATTAATAACATGTGGTAAACAAATCTATGGTACGCAATTTTAATGTAATTTACAGCAACAAATGACAGTGGCTTTGACAAGCATATTTTCTGTCGTCTTGATTGTTGTGTTTACAAATCTAGTTCTCTGTGTTATGTGTATATTTTCAACTATATCCTTGGGCTTTTACAACAAAAACTTTATGCACATTTTATTTATGAGGAAACCCGTTTGCAGTACTATCTCCCTAAATTTGCGATTTCAAGTGCCTAACGTTTGTTCATTTCTTAACTTTCCATTGACTTTTCTAAGCAAAGTTGCAGATGCGTGCATAAAAGCCACATTGCATTATGAGTGTATGAATGGGGATTATTAAAATAACGCTCTTTACTTTTGGGATAATTTTTGGATTTGCTCAATGAAACTTCACATTTAAGCGAATGGAAATAATAAATTCGAAACCTAGCTGTTTATTGCTTTGTAAACTAATCAAAACAGATATTTTAGGAATTATACTATCATAGTTTTTAACTTTTGCTACCTTTGCCAATACGTGTATGCTTTCCGAATGTAGCGCATGTTGACTCGCTGCAAGTATTGTTTAGCTAAGTCATTTAGTCGTTTCTGAAACAATGAACTAGTGCAAGCTATATCTGGCACGAATCGTTCATAATTAAATGTTAATTTTTAGATGATTGAATTTTGGTGTTACTATTTACTGGTATCGTACATAGTATACTATGACTCTATAATATGATAAACATTCACTTTGTTCGTTACTCTTTTAGCAAGCCAGTTACTTTACGACACTAATTCTACTAAACAGCGGATGTGGCCAATCCAAAGGTAACATGCATTTCTCACGAAATACTTGAAAGCGTTTTATAAGGTATTTGCATTTATACTAAGTAGCTAGTTACATAAACATAAGTTAATACTAAATGTCCATAGAATATTTTACTATTAATAAAAATCGCATTTTTAACTTACAGTTAACTTCATTTCAGTCCTAATAGACCAACTCTTATTTCAAGCCGGACTACGGCACTTTGGTTGCGTTTTGTTTAATTCATGGTCTTCCTAATAACTTATATTTCAGGCTAGTATGGAAAATCCACGGGGATAAGCAGCGAGCATTTTAGTACCTCAACATAAGATAAGGGCCTTTTAATAAGGTATTAAAATTAAAAAAAGAAATAGTTATCTTTAAAGGCTGCGTAAACTGGTAACCTGTACAGCTTCTCTATCCGAGTACTACGGTAATTAGAGCAACAAAAGTTTTATAAATATTTTACATTTTTTCCAATCAAACCTAAATTAGAATTTTATTGTATATTTGCCCTAGATGCCAGTTACAAAGGCATACTAGTATCCATGACAACAGTCAGTGTTTAAAAGCGAAATCAAAGACAGTTTACTATTCTAAATCTCTATATTTGTTTTTCTGTAATTCAGTTTACACTGAATCGTGTCTTTCTGTCATGTTCTTCCATATGGTCGCGGGGTGCGTGTCTGTAAAATATTTAGCCGACATTTGTAATCAGGAAAACCATAGAAAATAATAGCACAGCTTAATATTTTGGAATTTCAACTCGAATAAATAAAAAAATATGATCAACAGCATGTTTTTTTATTTACACTAAACGTATACTCCATATCCAGTAATGGTAAGATAAGCGCACCCTATTGGTAGAAGGGATTGTTTTGTATTGCTGAATCACCTATTCAGACATGCAGAACATTAAATATATTTAGAGATACTAAACAATAACAGAGGCATCATCGCTCCGTTAGTTTATTACATATTCATCTTTTTCAATCCTATAGCAATTGGAGTTGAATTCCGTGCCTCAGAATCTTTTAAGTTAAATAAATAGGCGCATAAAAAGGAGATTTATCCTGCAACGTTTTTAAACCTATAGTTTGCCATAGGTTGTAGGATTGCCATGGTAACTAAGCACATAGTCAAAATCGTAAGTTACCTACCCGGTTCCCATTCGATATATCCGTTGTATAAACAGCCGGAATTCATCCAATTTAACCCATTGATTAAGCGGTTCAGGTGATATAAGTAATGCGGTTCATCGATTTCGTAATAAAGTGACTTGGCCTTCAAACTGTATAACGAAATATGTCCCCCGAGTGATATCGAGTCAATTTCCTTCTCCAGCTGGCATGAACCATATATTTTGTAAAATCGCGATTTCATCCTGTACATAATCTAAAAAAGAAGAATAAGATGCAGGCAGTATGTAACAATGCAATAGCTTGATTCATCGGTTGAAAGTGCTTCTTGAAGCATCCAATTTCTATCCCTTACATACATAAACAATACCTTGCAAAGCATACATCAATGGTATATTAGGACGAGCAATTTTACTTGGCTGAAAAAGTGCAGTCCTTTTAACACTGTATTGACTAGATGCAAAACGAGTAGCAATAACACGGTGTTACGTTTGGAATTTGTATGTCCTAACAATGCTGCTTAGGTTAATTAGGAGGGGCCCTGCAACTAATTTAACCGCAGTAACAAGCCCTAATGTTGGCCTGAGTACAGGACAGTGCATATGTACACTGTCGATCCATAAGTTCCAGTTTATTTACACAGTGAGCTGTGCTATCTATATACATAGACTAGCACCAACTTCGCCACATTTGTTAAAATGGGGTTAACGTGACAGATTTGCACCTTTATGTCTGTGCGTGGTACTTCAAGCAAGTATGACCCCAAAGATTTTATTCGCTATCATCAATGGTTCGATGGTTCAATGGTGTATGATGGGATAAAAAGCATAACTTTACAAGACCCACAGGATGGATATGCAAAATGTTCCAACGTGGAACGTAAAGTATCAGTGGTTAAATCATTACACTTTAGCAAAGTGTTGTGTGAAAACTCTAAGAGTCTTTCGAATGTCTTCATGTCTGGTGTGTTCACCACATATTTTGGTAATGCATTCCAGTGAGAACAGCTTCTAAGTGAGAAAAAATACTTTCTACAGTTCAAACGATTTCCTTAGAATGTCACTTGAATTGTTAGCCACGGTTGTTTCATGTGACTGCAGCAATCTTCCAGTTATTTCGAGGTGGTTCTCGAGGTTGGGGAGAACCATTATTTTGTTTGCTTGTTCAGGTGACTGCTGTTGCTGGTGCTGAGACATTCGTCTCTTTAAACTTATTCTGCTGTGCTTTCTTGGGTAACCGTTGTTTCTAAACACTCAGTATAAGTGCCTTTCTTCCTATTTCTACGATTCAGCTGTGCTGATGTGAGTTTACACTCTTTATAACTGGAATTAAATGCTGCTCATCTTTTGATTCGACGGGTGGTCACTATGGTAGTTTGCATCCTGTCCGTAAGGGTTTTCTTCCGATATACGCACGCTTGCAGAGATCCGTCGGTATGCCTGCTGACCAGTACATCCAAAATTTGTAGCTTTTATCCTCCTGTAATGTCATCGTGAATTTGATATCCTCGAATGTGCTGTGAAGCAAATCGTGCTTGGGCTGTAATCCATTCCGTTTTACGATGATTTATGTGTTGTCTACTTATCGTATCCAGAATTTTATGTTGATAGTGCCAGTGCAAGGCACTCCAATGTATGCATTACGGCTTCTTAAATGAACCCCACATTGAGGATCTCAGTGGCATTCATCTGTTGTTGCTACACTTGTTCTTCAAGGTCGAAATATTTGGTCGCGCAGTGGTGCAGATGTTCCCACCAACCTCCAAGTCCTATGGATTTAATTGGGCTAAGTTTTTCCTCAGTTGTTTCCCTCATGATTTCTTTGGCTAATTCGTAATTGATTGAAATGAAGCGTACCATGAAATCGCTTTAAGGCATAATTTCGTTGTCTTATATTTTGACAACCTCAGTGTTTTGGGATAGTTCAGCACTTTTGCTCTTAGTTTAGCATTCATCCTGCAAATGTTTTAGCCTCTTCCATAAATTCTGCGCTGGTTTATATGATGGGGTTCCGGGAAGTAAGAATATTGCACGTAGTGAGAATCCGTTCTAGTGTACTTTCGGCAGTCCATAGAATAGTTCATTGTTAATATCATCGGCTTTCTTTACCCAACTCTCCCTGGCTGCAAGCCGGTTCTTTGGTTGTAGTTTTTTCAGAGTTGTTTTGATCTGGTTCGCAAGTTTCGATCATGGATATTGATCGATCGGGAGATATGTAGTTATGTTGAGCAGTTCTTTGACAATACTAATATACTCCGGTTTGCACTTTATTGCTAGCACGCGCGCTTGATCCACTGGGAATAGTATCATGTTCTCTTATCTGTTGACGACTAAGTGCATCCTATTTCAGCTTGTATAGAGCCGAGGTGACTTTATTACTGATAGCACTGGGAATAATGTTTGCCGTATTTGTGGCTGGGACTCCCATAATCCTTGTGATTTTGTTGCGTGTTCTAACCTAGCTAAGCATTCTATGTAGCTAATATATTTGAAGTTAAATTTGATCCACTTAATCAAGACACCCGCTTAATTTGCAGTGAGGTGGCACAGTGACAGTGATTCAAACTTCACTGCTGACGTAGCTATTTGTCTTAGTCAGCTTGGTTAACTTTGTGTTCAGTGCAACCTGGCGTCGCTTCTTCATGCTTTTGACTCGACGTTTAATTTCGGATCCCAGCACTGTTCTTAACTGCGGGCAAAAAGTATTGAGGTAATTGGGTCTATAGTCGATTATGACAATTTCATCTTTGCGTAGGCGGTTGTGGGCATCCGCTATTATTATTTTTATCATGCACCTCCAGTATGGTCCTGTTAACTTCCGGTCTATAGTTTGTACTCTCGGGCAGCAAGTTTTTTCTCAGGAATTCATATAAGTAGTGACGCTGTTTGCGTCCCTAAGCTTGTCGTCAGGCAACCGTTTTTAAACGACGAGCTAGTAGTAGTGTTTTACAATCGAATTGGTTGGTTAATAAAGTGAATAAATGAAAAAATATTTCTAACCTCCTTTAGTCAAGACGCGAAATTACAGGCGTGAGTAAATGCTTGTCAGAGTCATAGGAATAAAATAAGTTATGTACACCAAATGACAGAAGTTAGCAAAATACATGGCTCGATAAATAGTACCTAATTGTAGCATAGGAAATTTTCATGGATGATAGGCCTGTTCATTGGAGTCAGATGGAAAGGTGACGCGGAGGTCAGGTAAAATATATAATTGTTTCCGTTACGGAAGTACTTGGTGGGTGTAGGAATAATTTTTAAGATTGATCTGCATTATTTTGTGTAAGTAGGAAGCAGATAGAATGCTTCATAAACAATGTTGGACGAAAGGTGGAAAGTTTATTCATACGCCGTTGTGCACATAAAGTTGGTTACCTATATCACTACCGTTAGGTAGCAGTAGTCACTGACCGTATTTTCGTGGCGAGTGACATCCTGGGATATCAAATAAGCAACATATAATTTAAAGCAAAGCAAACACGCGTACCAAGGAATACGCAGCAGAATAAGAGAATTAAACAAATCAAATAAAGTAACATGACTTTTATCCAGATTAAAATTACCTTGTCTAAGTCTAGCTTAACCTTCTTCTTTGCTATTATTATTTTGGTACTGCCCGGTTAAATGTCCGCGGGAATTTAATATCCTGATGATGCATTGCTGGCTCTGTCAAGTGCGCGGGCGCCGGTAACTTTCAATTTCAACGTTATCTTTATGGTCTATCGGTGAAAGCCTCACATAGGTTTCACATTTGATATCATCACTGGCACACAAGGACACATTATGTTGTGTCAGACCGTTTTACAGTTAACTTATTTATTTCGTAAGGTTCCTTTTCCTGTCGAAATAAGTACTTGCACGAATAAAGAATTAATATGGTTTGCGTGTTAGTTTTCCCATAACCTTAACGCTAACACTGGATACATGATCATTTTTTCATCCAAGAGTACTTGGGTACGGAGCTTTTATTGAAGGATAAATGGAATCTACCTTTCAATCTGACAAGTAGGTCATACGCACTGCATGACCGCGTCCATATTGCTAGCTCCTTATAATCACGCACTTGACGCAAACCTGTATCTATGGACGCATAATTGGACCGGACCAGCGAAAGGACCAGTAGGAATAAGCGAAGCAAACTTACTAAAATGAAATCTGGATGTATGTACTACATAACGACTTGTAGTGCATTAAGCTAGGTTTAAGTCATTTGAATGTTAATCGAATATGAGTAAATAGAGGGTAGAACTGACAGAATATCTTTCATGAATACGGTTCTCCAAGCACGTTGAAGTGATTTGCGGCAATATGAAATAAAACGTTTAGTGGTCGTGAACTTATCATTACTGCAGTATGCGTGTGGTCGTGGATTCAAGGGGATTCCGCGTTCAGTAGGGACGTAGGTTGTGATAGAAATAGAGAGCTGCAATGAAAGCAAATACCACGTCGGTGGCTGGATGCTTATGTCACAACCACCTAGTAGGAGACCTCGCTGAACAGAACGCGAAGCAAATGAGAGAGGATAATATCAGTGTCTGTCTACCACAGATGCAGCGATCCTCTACCTTAGGGATCAACTAATGGTCATACGCAAACCAGCTGCAATGACCATCGGCGGGAACTTGTCTACAAGCCAAGAGTAAGTGGAATAGCCAGAATCATGTTGGTGATCCCCAGACACAAAATCTGAGGAATAGGTTCACAATAATAAAAATGAATGTGTTGCACGTAATTATAATAAGTACTTTAAAGTAACCTTTGTAGTGTAATAGTTTACATTAACCATACTAACTAGTCTCAGAATTATAAAACCTTATACTTGCAGCGCAATGAATATTTCACTGGAGTTTTTAAGTAAACCATTACGTAAAGTAGCTTTTTTATTTTAATTGAAATCACTTCGCATAACGAAATATTCCTTCGATTATTATACCTTTCGATTGACTCGCTTTTACTACCAATTCGTTGTTTACATAAAACCTTCTGTGATAATTAATCGTTTTGGCGGTGACTGAATAAACCTGCTTCTCTGATGTTCGCTCGTTCTCATTGCTTCGAATGTTCGGTGCTAGGGCCAAGATGCTTGTCCAGTGAGTACGTGTGCTTGTAGTGCTCGTTCGTCGCCATTACGTCCTTAGCATACCATCACATTGCTTTGCCGTAAGCGCTTGCTTTCCAAGACTACACACAGAAGGATATAGATAAACAGATAAATTGATTATTTTCGAATACTTCTAGTCACACCGAATCAGAC